GTATATTATATTATATATTTTATATATATATATATATATATATATATACATATATAAACATATGAATATATATATATATATCGATTATCACATGCGTATCCATTTTCTATATATTTAGAATGTTGTATCTATATGTATGTATATCTAATCAGGTATTTACCTGCGCGACCTCGGAGAAAAATCTATAAAAAAACTCGATGTAGCCGTTGGTCACGAGCATTCCTTTTTCTGAAATAGGTACACATACTCCAATCGCAGACATTTCTTAACAACCACTTAGCACATCGGAACCATATTTGTACGTTCGGCTGACATAAATTGGTGGAATCCGAATTATATCATATTGTAAATTTATTATCAGGTTTATTGGTTGCAAATTTTCTGGACGTGATTTTCATACGGAATCCAGTTTAATATTGAAGAAAAATGTTCAAAAAAAGCTTTATTCAAGCCACCAAATTGAATGCTGTCGAGCCTATGACGTGTTCTTTTTCGATCAATGGGTTTCCAGTTTATCTACTAAGACGCAACCTGACCTCCCCAGACGTTTTATCAACTAACTACATCCTCCTCTTGTACCACTCCAACCAGGTCTCCAGGACCAGCAGTCCAGCCCAAAGCTCTAGCCGCCCTCCACTCTCCAGAGTCTAGGCTCCAGACTTCAGTATCCAGACTCGAGACTCGAGGAGGCATCACATATTTTTATTTACATTTTTGTTTCAGTATATCATAGGCCATTGCAGATAAGCAGAACGCTATAGAAGTTTAGAACCCAATCACATTTTGTGCGTTTAGAATGAAGTATGTATCGACGTTAGCACAGGATGTGCCTAGATCGGGTATTATAAGCGCCTTCTAGATCTGTGTGCAGCAAGTAGATTTTAAATGCTCTCGTCAGGAGCATCACACCATTGTGCAATTCGGGTATATACAGCGTGGCCACCTTAAAATTGCATTAAGGATCTCGAAACGACTGTCGGGCGAGCCACGATCGGCAAATATTCGGACAGGTTCTTAAAATAAAGCCGAATTGAAAAACACGAATACGTTTATATGCCAATGTTTTTAGTATCGAACTTTATTATCCAGTGTTTTCCTAGATACATATACAAGCCATTCACCATTCCCACGGCACTAATGATGTTTACCTATCTTCCTAAAGCTTACTCCGCTTACTTTGTTGACGCTTATGTGCGAGCAAATATCGAACAACGCAATGCCATGTCTCAATTTAGAAACGCAAGTTACGACTGGACCATCCACCTCTTCGGATGGCAGCTTTACGCCACTCGTCCAATCCCAGGCATAGCATCATGTATGGGAAAGGCACCAACCAGGAATACCAAGGAATGGGGTATGTACCGAACACCCATTGGATTCCAGGAACGTACACCAAGAATAGAGGAATAAAGACAATCTCTACTAGACCGATTAGAAGCACCTTGTTCGACTTCAGACCGTGCTTGAAAAGTGACCTCTCGACAGTCTTAGTGGTCAATAGCACGGCCATACGTACGATCAGAACAGTGGAAAAGTATCCAGATGTACCGCAACGTGATAGATCCAATCTATTTTCCTGGGTCCAAACTATACCTTCAGAATCAGTCATATCAGCTTCGCTGTAGATGAAGTCCTCTCCATTGCTCAACCAAATAGAATCAAACGACCAACCACCATTTTGGATACCACAACCGGTTCCGAAAAGGATGAAGTACGAGGTGAATCCGGCAATACACTGTAAGATACCCAGGAATGCATACGAGTAGATGATCGACGCAATGGTCACCAACTTATCGCGTGAAGAGTCGCCACGTGGGGGTCGGTCCATAACACTGGACTCAGCCACCTCGTAGGCAAGAGAGATAGCGGGTAGCAGATCGGTACCAATATCGATAGACAGAATGAGAAGAGCGTTTAGAGGTGGGGGCAACCAAAGGAAGAACGAGAAGATGTAAGGAATCAACTGGGGAGCCTTAGACGACAAAGTGTAGGCGATGGACTTCTTCATGTTATCGAAGATCACACGACCCTCAGCGATACCGTTGACAATAGATCCGAAATTGTCATCCAGAAGAATAATATCGGAAGCATCCTTTGAGACATCAGTCCCTGCGATACCCATAGCAACTCCAACATTTGCCTTCTTCAAAGCAGGCGAGTCATTCACACCGTCGCCAGTGACAGCTACGATATGATTGGCACGCTGCAAACCCTCGACGATACGAAGCTTCTGTGCAGGAGAAGTACGGGCGAACACAATCTCGTCGTGGCGCAGAGCTACGTCGAGTTCGGCCTCAGTCATCTTAAGCAGGGACTCTCCATGAATCACAACAGCGCGGCCTGATGCCTCACCTTCAGGTGTAAGCAAACCGATAGTACGAGCGATGGCCTGAGCAGTGACGGGGTGATCACCTGTCACCATAGCAACTCTGATACCAGCCTTGTGGCACTGCTGAATGGCTCCGGGGACAGACTCTCGAGGAGGATCAATCATTGACATAAGACCACCGAACACAAGATCCTCTAGAGGGAAGTTGACATTCTCGGTATCGAAGTTAAAACCAAGAGGGAATTCGGCAGCATCAAGATACAGGTAAGCAAAACCAAGAACACGCTCTCCCATGTTACCAATCTGTAGGTAAGCGGTGTCATATTTAGCACGTACATCAGCGTCAAGAGAACATTCCTTGCCCTTAATACCAATCCTAGTAGCTCGATCCAAAATTCTCTCGGGGGCTCCCTTCATCACGAGGATATGAGCAGCGTTGTGCTTGTCCTTCTTCGGCAAAGAGTGAATTGATACTTGGAACTTGTTGGTAGAGTTGAAAGGAATCTCTGCTACCTTCGGGCAGTGAGTACGGATGGTAGATACGGGCGCAAGCAGTTCACAGAACTTCAGAATAGCAGTTTCAGATGCATCACCAATAACTTCACGGTCAAGGATGGCGACCTCATTCTGACCGGCAGCAAACTCTGATCTAGAGCAAAGAGCACCAATCTTGTAAAGATCATTGAAAGAGGAATCTTCGGCAACCATACGATCCTTGACTCCATTGGCCTGAAGAGTATCGGCACTGAGTAGATCCATGTCGGTCCAAACGTGAGAAACAGTCATTCGATTTTGGGTTAGTGTACCCGTCTTATCGGAAGCGATGATGGTAGTACGTCCTAGAGTCTCAACAACAGACAGCTGTTCAGTCACCAATACATTCTTTGCGGCCATACGAGACGCTGCTAGGGCCAGAGATACGGCCACGGCAGAAGGTAGACCTTCGGGCACGGTTCCGACAACAATACCAATGATGATAACAATAAGAGAAGACCAAGTATCCACGCCATCTCGCACTAAACCAACAACCAAGAAGATAAGAGCTAGGGAAGCAGCAAAGATGGTAATCCACTTAACGAAAGAGTTGATTTCTACCATCATGGGAGTATCCTCCTCTTCAGCTCCAGATACGAGATTGGCGAGCTGGCCGATGACGGTGTCATCAGCCGTGTAGATAACCTAGAACATGAAATTGATGGTTGAAAGATAAAATTATTTGTCAGAAACGACTTGCATTATAATAAGCTTTACAATTTTTTGTAGACAGTAAGTACACAAGGCCGAACTTTCGAAGAGCGTCACGCTGAGTGAAGTGACCGACAATTATTTTTAAACGATGATAAATAAAATTTTACATACCACTCCAATTCCGCTTCCTTCGACGCATGAGGTTCCTGAGAATGCCAAATTAGAAGTTTCCAAAGGATTGTCGTGCGTGGTCTTCTCGGTACGAGTTTGAGGTTCACTTTCACCAGTCAACGAAGCGTTATCGACCTTCATGTTGGTGGCTTCAATGATACGTACGTCTGCAGGGATTTTGTCGCCACTGATAATCTTAACTATATCACCTGGAACCACAAACTTTGCGCTAAGCGTCATCAATTCTCCACCACGAATGACAGTGGTGTTTTGAGGTGCCATTGCGGCGAAACCGGCCATGGCATCACCAGATTTCACGGTTTGTACAAATGAGAAGATAGCGGTCACTAAAACAACTAAAACAAGCGCAACACCTACAACCAAATTTTCGTACTCGTTTCCAAGTGGATTTGTGTAACCCTCACTGCCAGTCTGCTGCACAATGAAAGCAACAAAACACAGAAGTGCCGCAGCCCAAAGCACCAGTGCGAAGGGCGTGGTAAGCTCGCGCATAAACAGAATCCACTTAGGAGTTTGCTCCGGTGGGGTCAGTGCGTTAAATCCGTACTTCTCAATACGACGCTCAGCCTCTGCGACAGTGATACCCTTTTTGAAATCAGTCTCGAGACGACCTTCAAGCTCTTCGGCCGAGATGATGTGATCATCCATCTGAACTTCACGGTTCACAAGTTCTTCCTCCTTCACCTCAGCCTTATTCTTGGGCTTGTGCTCTTCTTTAGATGCTGCGGCACCACGACGGCGTCTGTCGGCGACACGTGCGGACGTCTCTTGGAAAGCAGTCGCAATAGAAGCGGTAGAGTTACGACGGTGGTCTCCATCATAGTAGGTCGATCGTTCAGCTGCTACACTTTGGATAGAGACCGAAGTGCTCGCAATCGAGGTCCGAGAGGCCCGTCTTGCAGAGGAGACGGCGACTGTGTCCTCATCGTCGTCACTGACGAGGGTGCTGAAAAAAATGAGTTCCATATTGAATGAGATCCCCCTGGGGCCTAAAACATGCGCGAGGCAATGTATTGTGCTTGTCGGCGACAACAAACGTATCAAGCTGCATCGTGACTTCCGTAATTATAAATCAATACAATATGCAGACCACTGAACTGTGGACTTTAGGTGTACACAACTAGTCGTATAGAGAACAACTGGCTTTCACAACTCCGACGAGGCAAAACGTAAAATAAAATTTCAAGTAGGCTTTCAGTTTGCAATATTTATAATTCATGAAGTTGCAACTTCACAAGTAGTTTCAAAAAGACTTACTGTTGCGATTCTCGCATATCCAGGTCAACATCCTGGTTTGATTTGCTCATTCTCGCGTTGACGGTTCGTCCCTAACCTGGCTAGACAGCTTTCTGTGTTCACAGTATCCACGGGCTCAGTAGTGTAAATGTGTATTCTTTACGACTGGTAAATGTGACCGATTTGTCTCTTATTGATATATTAGTTTTCAAAACTTTACTGTTGTGTTCTATTTTTAGATTGTCTATTTTAGGAAGGACAACACTTTCACTGTCCAGTCCAGACGCATAAAATTGTAAAGGTTTTTTTTGAAGCTCCTCACTTATATTTACCGTTTCCCGACCTTCGTGTGCACTTCGGGGCACCATAGTCGGTAAAACTCTGTTTCGTCCAGGGGGTCTAAATATGGGGGTAGAGGGTTTTATTGGTTTTTTTCTTTAGAGAACAAATATAGTAGATATTATGAAGAAAATAATATTTCAAAATAAAAGCGGCTGTATGTAAAACAATACTGTTTTTTTTAAGACCACAAAAGTTAATCATATAATATGGGGGTTTTTTTAATTATGTGTACTTTTTGAGAATAAATAGTTGTGTGCTGTATTGCTTTGATGTTTTTAGAAATAAATAGCACAGGATGTACTATACACACGCTTGTATAATAATAATAATATGTAAATGTATTCATGGCCCTCTTGATTTGGGTCTCTGCTAAATTTACGATTTGTCGTCGGAAGAAACCTGATTTCTGCTCGCGACCCTGATCCAGAGGGCCATAAATAAATAATATATATATGATGTATTTATGTATGTAAAGTATTATATATATATTTTACAGTAAATACTATAAATAGCAGTATGTTCCAAAAACTCAAATATGAAGAAGAAATGGGTATTTTATTTTTTTATTTTTTAAATCCAATTTTGTAAAAACATAGCAATGATAAAAGCACAACCAAACAAGTGCGGCTTATTTATTTAGTGGTCGCAGTCTGTTCCAGTACTATTTAGATTTTAGAGCAGACCTCGACACGTCGTTCCTTTGTTCGTTAAAAACGGCTAAAAATTGTTATACGTTCAACATTTATATCATATAAATACGTGGTCCCAATCAGACCCAAATTCATATGGAGGGGTCGGTTTTCCAGGTCAGAGCCTAACTGACAGTCTTTTCCTATATGTATGTATATATGTATCTGCCGCCACTTTTGCCCCTCCCAACGTTCGGTTTGGATTGTCATGGATCAGTGTATGGTACATTCAAGGTGAGGTAGATCATGTTCACTGCATTGTCCATTTATCTCTGTAGCATATTCAATGACTGTAGCCACTACTAAGTACTAACATATATTACGTACATAGACTATGTTATATGTTTTTAACTTTATATATGTAAATAGGGGTGTTTTGTGTTATCTTGATTTTTATGTAGTCAACAGTGTTTCAGTTTTTACCGCCTACCCGACTGCACTTGAAGGCAATTTGTCACAATAGGAAGTAGACTTGTTTCAGTGTACGTATTTCGTGGCCAAAACAAATATATAGGTGTATTATCCAGGTCTATTTGTGCTCAAAATTTTCAGGTCAAATTACTTGCACAAAACGTTAAACGCTAAATATATCAAAGTATACGTTATACGTTCAACGTTTTCTCCCACATGGCATATTTAACGCTATGAGGTCCGAATTTTAGAGGGCTATGGTTTAATTTTTTGAAAAATGTAGATGGGTTTTTTGGCTATGAACTTTTGGTTCATTTGGATTTTGGGTTTTTTTTGTTTATTTTTGACATAATGTCGCGGTTCTGGCTGCTCACTGGCAGCTGTGAGGCTGGGCGCCTGGGCCTGTGGGCTGTGGGCCTGTGGCAGATAATGAGTTATCAGCACCTCTGTCTGACGTTCCCACTCCCTACTCCCCACTCCCCAGAGACCAGACGTCCCAGGTCCCAGTCCACTCCCCACTCCCCAGCAACTGCCAAGTGCCAGCAGTCCTGAGATTCCTCACTTGACTTGATGACCCAGCAATGTCTACTGTTCTACTCTCTATTTAGTAACTACTTCTACTACTAAGAGAGTGTGTGTGTCCACCGTCCGCTGTCCAGCCCAGAGTATTGGAGCCATTCCTTTGAATATCCAAATATGGCATTTGTTTATTGTCGATTGTTTTAGATGTTCAGACTTCAGACTGAGTTTACTCATTTTAAGGAACATTTTAGGCTTGATTAGTTGATTTCATCTAAAATATGTAGTATTGTCAAAAAAATATGTTATTCGCAATACTTTACTGTCTTCACATGAGATGGCTTTAAAGTGTTTCTTTGTCCGCATCATGCATTGATAATTTGAAATCACAAATATAAACTACTCTTGATATTAATTTCTAGCTAATGAAATCTCAATATATTTTTTTCTAAATTACAGCTTTTAGTTTTTTTTAAATAATCAAATTGCGCTGCCCATCCCCAAAAATAACCTGAGTGATGTCATCATGTCACCAACTCACAACTGTCACCACTCACCAGACACCACTCAGCTCAGAGTCACAGGGCCACATTGCCCCCGAGCCCCGACGGCGACTCCCCGACCCCCGTCCCCCGCACACACTTATGTGACACGCACAGCAAGAGTGACAACTGACAACCTGACAACCTGACAACTACTGACAAGAGACTCGACAACAAGAGAAGAGTCAAGAGAGTGGACAACAACAAGAAAAGTGTAAAAGTGGAGACAGTGACCTTGTGTGAAGTTGTGAAGTCCCTTTTCAAAATGTGTAAATTATTCATCACCAAAAGCTTTAGCTATTAGATCCCTCAGAACTTTATTTATCACCGAAAGCGTAGCAGTGGAGTCCCTATTTCTTTTATTGAAGTCCGCAACGCTCCAGAGTCACACTGAGATCAGTGTGAGTGTGAGCCTAAGGATCGGTCCTACCCCATTTTTTCTATAAAAAAAACATATAATAGTTATATATGGAAATATTCTTGAAAATCAGCGGTGCAATGAATACCTCTTTGACTAAACGTTTTCGGTCCCCTCGGTGCCCCAACCTTGTTTTATTCCAAATAAGGAATAAAGTGAAGCTTTTTATGCCCATTTGAGAGCATGTACATAAATATAGAAAGGCCCAATACGAGAAACACGATGTAAGACTAGCAGTAGAATAGATACGTTTATTGGGGGCTTCCCCCCCCCCCCTAACAACAACAACAACAACAACAAAATGGAAATCTGGACCGTACTGTGATCCAAAATTGAAGTTACACTTTTAAAACCATGGGGCGCGCATTCCCAAAAGAAACATGGGTACGAAAACCCAGAATTAAAAATTAACGTAAAAGAAAGCTCGACAGGGATGCGGGCAACTAACTAAGGTGCCCCCCAACAACAACAACAACCAAAAGAAATTGGAAATCGGAACCAAAATTGAAGTTGTAGTTGAACCATGAGGGGGCGAGCTTTCGCAAAACAAATAAGGTTACGAAAACCCAAAAATTAAAATATCCGTTTGCCCTTTTTTTTTTCAGAGCATTCAGTTCCCCACCGACGTCAGCGGTGTTTTATTTATTAATTTTCATTCTGAAGTTTTCTCACTGTTGACTCTCAAGAAGAGAGTCCCATGACTCAGTCTCATGACTCTCTTCTGACTCATAAGTCGACAATAGCTGTATTTACACTAATAACACAATTTGATTTGTTTTTGTTTTTGTTTTTTTTAATATTTTCGTACATAACATTTACGTACGTAATTACATGCTACAAAACTATTTGTTTCTCTTTTTTTTTTAACTAAATACTGACAGTCTGACACTATGACAGGCTGACAGTCTGTCATTGTGGAATTATGCTCAGTTGCTCACTGCTCAATGCTCATACCTCATAGAGTCACAACTCACATCATCACATGCCTGATACCTCTCAGAGTCTCAGGGCTCAGGGCCTCAGGCTCTCAGGAGTCTCAGCTTCTCACTGTGATGACCTTTTATTTTTTAAATAAATGCTTCTTATTTTTAAATGAGTCCGTACTGCCAAATACCGACTTATTTTTGAACAAAAAGGTCCGTCCGGCAAAACCTTTGTACCAGAACTTGGCACATATGAAGAATTTGTTTGAATATATTGTTCGATTTTCAACAAAATGTAGAGTTATAGACCAATGAATATTGATTTTTATATTTTTTTATCATATTTTTTTTGTCATTTTTCGGGCACTTCAAAAGTTCAAACTTCAAAGGCAAGCCCATAATAGCTCAAGCCCCAGGCCCCACTGCCGTTTTGCCAGTGGCCTCTTTCACTTTGGTTCAAGTCTTATTTATTTTTTCTTCTCTTCAACTCTTCAGACTTCAGGTAATTGTTCTCAAAAAAAAAATCAGATATATTTCCAAAAAATATTTACAAAACAAGTCTCAAATTCAATTTTCGACTAAACTCTCCTTTTTACATTTAAAAAATAGTTTTTATCGTCTTTTCAAAATAAAAATTAAATGGATTTTGTAATTACGTATGTATTTACATCATGTAAATATTATAATACCTAATATAGATTCCTTGTCCCCCCTACACTGTGCAGTGTGCAATGTGCACTTCAGGAGTCAGCACTTCATCACTCAGCAGTGAGCACTAATAAGTTAGCACTGTGAGTGTGGTCTGAGTACACACTACTGATGAGTACCGAGTACTACTGAGTACTGACTACTACACAGTAAATTCACCCAAGAAGATTCCAAATTTGAACCGACCACACTCACAGGGCTGATGAGTGCCGTAGTGTGTACTCACTGTACTGTGTACTGTACTCACAGTACTCATTCTATTTGTTGTAAAAAAATTAAATACAGACCTTTTTCAGTTTTTCAGCCCCTCAGAGACTCTCTTTGATTTCGGTGTCTATACATTTTAAATTTAAATACTATTGACTATCACAAGATATTGTTCTTAATTATACTTTAACCAATAGAACTGTATATAAAAGCAATTTAAATTATCCTTTAACTGGGCAACCCTCACGCCTCATTCGTGCAAACTTTCTTTGAAAATATTTATTTATTTGAACTATGCCGAATTGTTGATTTAGAACACATATGTAAACCTCAAGACCGTCGGACAGTTGACATGGTTCGTCAATTCTTATAATATCAAAAACACGCAAAAACGTCTACAC